AAACCATGACAAGTGGAGGGTTAAATTGTCTGTTGAAATAAACTATCTATGACACAAAAGTATGTCCCAACCTGCTTTTTAAATTTAATTCATGTCCTTTGTTTAATCCATTACAAAAAACAAAACAAATAACAGTTTTTACAATGGAGTTTAATACAACTTTTTTTTTAGTAGGCAGTGTATTTCCTGCAGTAGATGGCTTTCCAGATGGGTTAGCTAAAGCTGAAAAAAAGACTGGTGCAGGAAGAAGACGTTTTGATTTCATTGGATTTTTGGCATCACCTATCACGTACATTTTCACTGTGTCCTTTCTGCATCAATTGAGAGGATTTTCTGGTCTACTTTCTGTGAGTGACTCTGAACTTAAGAAAGCTTCTGATTCCATGCCTTTACACAAGAAAGAAGGAATCTTCAGCAAGAGGCAACAAGGCTATGAAATTTACAAAACAGAAGATCACTCTAATAATAGGAATATAAACTACAACATTTAGACAAAAACCACAAGGGTATGAAACAATACAGAAAAATCGCTCATCTAAGAGGACAATTGAAAAATGATTCATGTTAAGTGTTCACTGCCTCAAATTAAACACCATTTTCCTTTTTTTTTTTTTACATGTCATTCTAGGGGACTACATAATTCATGTTCAAGTCTACAATCAATTTGGCAACGCGGCCACATCTGTGAAGATCCACACCCTCCCTCGCTTGAGCAGCCTCATCATTTCCTCTTCAACTTTGAAACCACTTGTCGGAGGCACCGTCCAAGTGGAAGCTTCTGTCGAGCCCTCCGCATCTGGAATCCAGTACACCTGGGACTTTGACGATGGCTCCGCAGCTGTCGGAGGCCCCGAGCCCAAAACCAGCCACACTTTTGCATCTGCAGGCGTCTATAACATCACTGTGTGGGCTAGCAACGCCGTTACCTCGCTGACCGCCTCCCTTTTGGTGGTAGTCACGGAGGAAATCTCCGGCTTGTCCGTCACATACAGTGGACCAACTGAAGCGGGATCTCCGACGGTTTTCAGAGCTACAGTTGCCTCTGGCACCAGTCTCCTCTGGAGTTATGACTTTGGTGATGGGTCATGCCAGGAAAACGTTACACACGGTTTGGTCTCCCACATTTATACCCTTTCAGGGAACTACAGCGTTGGGGTGACTGTTTCTAACTCTGTCAGCCAGGCTCATAAGAACATCGCAATTGAAGTGTACACTTTGGTTTTGAGTGGAGTTCTCCCAGATGATTGTGTCCTGAGTGGAGAAGAAGTACAACTTACAGCCATAGTGAATGGAAACATTTCTGCCCTGACCTTCTACTGGGGGTTTGAAGAGGATTCATCGTCGATTGTCGTAGCTGGACGGTCAACAGTTTTGCACGTGTTTCCAAACCAGGGGATTTTTCATGTCGACCTGACTGTGCGAAGTTCTGTGAGCGCTGTATCATTTAGGACAAGCATCTGTGTTGAAAGTCCAATAACCGACGTTTCAGTGCAGCCATCAAAGGATGTGGTGGCAGTGGGAGAGGAGGTGTGCATCACGGTTTCAGTGCCCCCTAAAAATGCTACAGGTTACCAGTTCAGGTGGTCTGTTGCCTCCACTGGTCACGCCACTACGACAGCAACATCTCAGAGGTGTTTTTTCTTCAAGAATGACGGCGTCGAGGAGGTTTCCGTAACAGCAAGCAACAAAGTCAGCAACAAAACCGCCACAGTTGAGGTTACGGTTCAAAAACCAGTGTCTCCGCTCTATATTGAGCACAACGTTGACACACTGGCCGTCAACACGTCGGTATCATTTTGGGTCGCCGGTGGCGTTGGCAGCAATGTGTCCCTGCTGTGGGACTTTGGAGACAGGTCCCCTGTGGAGCAGAGGGAAAATGTGTCTCATGTCTTTACCTCTACCGGTAAATTCAACGTGACCGCAAAAGCATTGAACGCCGTGAGCCGGGCCTCTGCAACCATCACAGTCGAGGTTTTGCCACTTGTTTCGGACCTTTCACTTTACACCAGTCACCCTCATGCCGTAGTAGGAGAGGAAATTCTTTTCACGGCATATAGCAGCGCCATTAGCACCAGTGACTGCTACTGGGACGTGCAAGGTGTGACCACAACCAAGCATGGCACTGGTAGCTTCCCTTTTACCTTTTCCAAACCGGGACGGTACCAAGTACGGGTGATGGTGCAAAATAGAGTCAGTAAAAAGGAAGCAGATCTTTTGATTGAGGCTTTTGAAAGAATAGAAGGTCTTCAAATTGAATGTCAAAGCCTGTCCAATGAGAAATACATACCGACTCAAGAGGAGTCGCTGCTTTCTGCGTCAGTCACCAAAGGATCCAACATCACTTATCATTGGCTTATTACACAGAGTGGAACACAGCGGCAAATAAGAGATGACGGAAAGCTTTTTCGTATTATGGTCCCAACTCCTGGCAGGACCTCAGTTCAGCTTACAGCCTTCAACATCTTGGGCGAGGCCACCACCAGTGTTTCGCTTGTGGCAGTAGAACGGGCAACAGGGGCTCGCATCACGACCCCCTCCATCACTGTGGCCCTGGGGAAAGCCATCAACATATCAGTGTCTGTGGATACCGGCTCACACCTGCAGTACCTTTGGTACGTGGGTGATGATGCCTCACCCCTGCTGACACGTACGCCCTTTGTTCTCTACACTTTCAAAAATCTGGGTCACAGTCTTGTTCGAGTTTCAGTACAGAACGGTCTAAGCAAGAGTAACAACTCCAAGCTGTTTTTGATTCTGGAAGAGATCCGAGAGGTGGACTTTGTGATTTGTGGGAAGAAACATCCATTTTTTGTGAATGCAAGTACTCCTCTGCTTTTTAAAGGCCTGGCCCACAAGGGTAATGATCTGCACTGGGATTGGGAAGTTAGACTTGCCAAAGAGACTGTTTTCACCTCCATCAGTCCAACTTTTAGCTTATCACTTCCACAAGCTGGTGTTTATCTGGTGCTTCTGAATGTCTCCAATGAGATAAGCTGGCAGGTGGTTTCACACAGCGTCACGGTTCAGGAGGCAATTGGAGGTTTAATGCTTAACGTTACCAAGACTTCTTTCTGCACAGATGAACAAGTCATGATCATACCAGTTACATCCAAAGGTAGTAATGTGAGCTTTGTTATGACATTCCAAAACAAAGAATGGATTCAAAGTTGGGATAATTTTGACAGCCAGCTCAACATTTCTAGCCTTCCAGTTGGCCCACACCTGGTTACAGTTAAAGCTATGAACCAAGTCAGTGATGCAGAGATTTCAACAAACATTCTAGTAAGTGAGAGTATTCGGGGTTTGAGACTTGTAAATTGCTGTACTGCCATGCTAGAGGCATTTAAAGAAGTCCAGTTCAAGGCAGAAGTTCCAAGAGGGTTTCATGCCAATTACACATGGGAATTTAACATGGAGGAGTCTCCCGTAGCATGGCTCATGGGGCAAGAGGTGACCTTTACTCCACCAGAGAGTGGTTTGCTGACTATAAGAGTGAACGCCAGCAATGGGGTCTGCTCCCAGACTGTGAATGACACTGTGACCATTGAGTGGCCTATTAAAACAGTCAAACTTGTTTGCCATGCACAGAGAGTATTTGTCGGACATGAGTTCGGGCTGTCAGCAGCAGTAAATGGAGGAAGCAACGTCAGATACCTTTGGGACTTTGGAGACACCACTCAATTATTTGATTCGAGTGTTGCAAACCATACCTATGACTCAAAAGGAAAATACAGCATTGTGGTCAAAGCTTTCAATAACGTTAGTGTTGCGTACACACAAATGCAAGTGGATGTGGAGGAACTTCTGTGTTCTAACCCAAAAGCTTCCCTGGTTCAGAGTCAGTCTACCATCTTTAGATCTAGACCAAGTTTCTTTGAGGCCAGTGTGGACCTAAACTGCTCTGCCTACAAGACCAAATACCATTGGGAAATCTTCAGGGAGTCATGTTCTACCAAAGGAAACAAAGTCAAACTTAGAAGCCAGCAAAATGGAGCTTCGCCTCTTTTTGTACTGCCAAAGCATGCTCTCAGTGTCGGATGCTATTGCTTGGTATTCATGGTGTCATTCGAAGGAACTCCACTTATGGCTCAACAGAGGACCAACGTTACTGTGGTCCATTCCCCATTAGTGGCAGTGATCGATGGAGGCTCACATAGACTGTGGTCCAGTCGCAGTAGCCTTCTCCTGGATGGATCTGAATCTCATGACCCTGATGTGGAGCCTGGAGTGGAGGACACACTGCAGTATCGCTGGGCTTACTCAGTATTGGTACATTTTCACAATACAGTACACATTTTGGGAATAGGAATAACATTTTCTGACTATTGAGCATACTGAAACAAATTGAGCCCACACATACAAATATGTATTAAGACATGCATATTTGTATTATGTGCATATACAGTATGAAGACATTGAATGACTAATCTGAACATTTGACAATTTCATTGGTCCACTGTGATCTGTTTGGTAACGTTTTGGTGGCATGAAGCTTGTTGGCCTGTAAAAATCCATGGTAAAATTTCCATTATTTGAGCCGCAAGGTTCAATGCGTGTGAAAAAAGAAGCTGCCCATAGTATGGAAATGTTGGTAATGGTTCCATTCCCTGTTTCCAAAAGATAGGGGCACAATGAAAAATAAGAACACAACAGGCAAAGGTTGAGAGCTTTATTTACTTGAACAAGCTCTGGTGTCAGGTATACATTAAAGGCATCTAATCCAAAATTAGCAAATATTGTGTAGAAAAACTACGATGTGCTTTAATCATTTGAGTAAATCTGAGCTTTTTGTTCTATTTTTTCTCATTGCACTGTGCCACCCTAAAAGATAAAGTTATCGTTCATGTGAAAATTTAAAAAGGAGTGGTGTGGATCATCTCACCGTCATGTTTCATGTTTCATTCGCAGAACTCCACACACTCTTCTCATTTAAGTGAGCCCATTGGGAGTGTCAGTAGGAAGATGACTTTGGATGGAAATCAGCTGCAGCCTGACTCGATTTATGTTTTTATCCTCACTGTGCACAAGAAAGGGAGAAGACATGTCTCTGTCAATCAAACGGTGAATGCTACCCATCATCCCACCTGTCCAGCCCTATGTGCACATGAAATGATTTCAAGATTATAAGTTTTAAGTTACTTTTTTTTTTTTTTTCCAGGTAACTGTGACTGCAGCTGCTGTGCTTCCTGTCACTGTAAAATGTGTATCCTGTTCTGTCATTTCCTCTGTGCAACACAGCAGTTACAGCCCTGTTATACTTGCTGGACAATGTAAACACTGTGATGACCGCGTTCAGGTAACTAAAGCAATAATTTTAAATACCGGTAGATGTCAAATGTCAATTCTAAAATCTCACCTTTATTGGGCGCGATGTTGACTTTGAAGTCTATTGCATGGAATAATTTGTGATCGGATGTTCTGGACTGATTCAGTATGTTAGAAGTGCTGATTTATTTAAATAGATAGACATTCAGTGTTGAAGTTCATGAATGTGTCCTCACACAGTACAAATGGACAGCTGAGGACCACAATGGCCTGGCCCTTGACCTCAACGATGTCACCACCTCAACAGGAAGGCTTTCTCCCAACTTGGTGGTGCCTTCAGGTGTCCTGCAGCCAGGTCGGAGCTATTCTTTCATCCTAAATGTATCCCTGCCTGGCAGCCCTCTGCAGGGCAGTGCCCGTTTAACAGTCCGAACAATGAGGCTTCCCCCTGAAGGGCTGTGTGATCTCAGGCCAGAAACGGATATCCGTCTGCTCGAGACAATGGTCACATACAACTGTTCAGGTAAACATCATGTGGTTGTAAAAGGTGCAGAAAAATATTTTTGAACATGTTTACCATGTTTTTCTGTTTGATAAGAGACTGGACGAGGTTTTCCACTATCTTGACTCTTTGAAAAAACTGCAAGCACAAAAAGTTTTACAATAACTTTGGGATGTGATGGATAGTGTTGATGCTTCACTGGGTTTAGATATGACCAGTTCAACTAATTAGATTAGTTGTATCCAGCAAAGTCTTCAATTATGGTGTATGTCTGCACTCTGTAAGTTTATGGCTGCCAGGAGTCCCTGACCAAATACCCCTTATTCTAACAATGGTCAAAACCTTTTTATGCCTTGTGGACAGGTTTTCATACTGCAAATACGATACTGACATGGAGGGTTGAGGGTGCCAAGTGGGAGGGTGGAAAGTTTTTGATATTTTATTAATGACTAGTTAGCAGTTGTGCATCACCAGAGCTATTTCTCATCCATTCTCACTGTATTTGTGGTCAGAAGCACCAGGCAATACAACACTCTCCAGTGTAGAGGCTTTTTACCCACACATCTCAGTGTCCTCATGAATTTTTTTATAACATATCCCATCAACTGGCAGCTGCTACTGTTATGATATACTCATCACTCTGAACTTTACTTGACAGCGCTCATTGTCTAACAGAGGATCAGTATTTTAAATTGATATTATTCTACTAAACGTTGGCAGGATGGCAGGATAATGACGGTGGGGGCTCTCAGCTGATTTATACCTTCCGGGTGGCGTTATGCCAAGCCAGTACTGCTGCATGCCATTCGCTCACTCTATACAGGTGAACAGAGCCCTCGTTCTACAAAATATACATCATCATCACTGCACGCCATTACATTCAGGTTAGAGGTTTCTCACGTCTTTTGTTCTAGGGGTACTCGCTCAACTTTCAGCACCTTGGTTCCGGTTGGAAGTCTAAGACATCAAACAAACACATCTGTCATCACAGTCACTCTGCTGATCGAAGACCATCTGGGGACAAAGTTCATTGCTCTGAACAGGTCCTTTTATAAGTGGTTTTGAGGGAACTATGTTGTGTGGTCGTAATTACCTACAGCACTTATGAAGGATCATTTGGAGGCAAATTCCTCTCGGATTAAATGTTTTGCTTGCTCAAACACATGCCTGATTTCTTCCTTCCTCAGAACACTGACAGTCACAAATCCTCCAAGTGACAAAGCTGCCAGTCTGTGGCTCAAAGACAGGATTCGAACAGATCTGTGGACCTTAGTCCAACATGGCAACCCTCAGGAGATCATCCCTTATTCTATTGCCCTCTCCAGCAAGCTCAACCAGGTAAGTCGTTGTGTTTTTATGTCCCAGAAATAACAGCGACAGTGACTTTTTACAATCCTGCACAATGTTTCACCTTTATTAGCAGGTGGAGTACAAAATGACTCCAGAGGAACTGGTGGAGCAGAGAGAGATCCGGAGAAATGTTACCCAAGCTCTCGCCTCTCTCCCTTTGTCCTCGTTCGAAGATGTTGACCAGCTCAGTTCAGCACTCAGGCTTTCTGTTGTAAGGAAGCACAGTCCAATTACTTTAAAACCTACTGATTAAATTTTTAAAAATAATAATAAAAATGCTCCCGAACAAAGCTAAAGGAGATTTATCAGAGAATAGACGAAGTTCTTTTCAAATTTTCCCCTGGAATCCTGTCCTTGCCTTGTTGTGTTTCAGGCTGTTCCCAGTGAGCTGCCAAGTGAAACCTGTCAGAGAGGAGTTCTGGAAGCTGTTGGGGAAATGATTCATGTCATGGGGCAACAAACGAGTCACGCTGATTTACCAGAGGACACGGGACGGAACATTCTCAGTGTTATAGGTGCTGGTTGACCACCGTCCTTTCTTGAATCCGACACAATCACCACTGATGTTGATTTGACACATATCTTCCGTTTGTTCAGGCAGCATGCTGGCTGCTGCGTCTGAGGCTGCCGGGGACTCCAGTTCTAACTCGCCTTACCACCGCACTCTGAGGGCAGCGGCAGAAATCACCCTCTTAGCTCTCGGCCATGCCGGAGCACTCATGCACACGCTGATGCGCTCACGTGTTCCCGGCGAGGCATCGCTATCGCTTTCCACCGATTACATCAGGACCGTTGGGTTTCTCGGAGACCCTCTTGACCTCCCGTGCACTCGTCCGTCAGACCGGTCCAGTGGACACCGAGTCGCCCCTTCAGGGTCATCTTCACCTGAAGGATCTGAGAGTCCTCTTCAGTGTCAGTTTCTTATCCCAACGTCTTTGAGCGCTCTCCTGAAAAACCAGAGCTCAGAGGTGGTGCAGGTGTTGTATGATGTGGATAAGGCATTGCATTCTAACCCCCTGTTGACCGCAGCCAGTCCGCCTATCTCCACCACTGTGGTTGCCATGGAGCTCAGCACACCTCAAGGCCAACCCATATCCATCCAGGATTTAAATCCTCATGACGCAATACGAGTCACCCTGCCCAACAGGACCCCCCCGACCCAGGGTGCTGGGCGGGGGGGAGGGAGAGCGAGTGAAGCTGAGAATGGGACGTGCCTGACTGTACCACTCCCCACCAGGGGACAGCTGAACTTCACAGTGAAACCTCTGGATGACCTGGAGGTCAATGCAGGTTTATTCATCTCGTTCAACTTCAGCCTGGCGCCAGGTAAAACAATTGAAACTTTTAAATACAAAGGACTTTCCAACTTTGGTCATAAATCTCATTGAGAGATGTTAGCCAACAGCCATTTAAGCAAGTTGCTAACTTCACCTTCAAAAGGCCATTCTTTTCCCAGCTTTGCATATATTTGATAAATGATATTCCAGTGTAGGCTTTTGTACAATTTCTTGTTTCCTATTTTCTCATTCCTTGTCAAATAACACAGCCAATATACATTTCTTAGAGGGTAACAAAACCCAGATAATTTCACAGTTCCACATTTAGAGTGATAATCATTGTTTGTTTTTCTAAACTTATTTGATAAATGCGAAATTATTCCTCTTTATAGATAATTTTCATGTGTGACTGTCACACTGTGCATTAAAAATACATTTTTCACAGAAAAAAATGAATTTATATTTGTAGCCATACTTGTAGTCGACTTTTCAGAATGCCCCAAGTCTCACCAGCGACTGAAAACATCTGTGAGTTAATTCATATATTTTAAATGAAGAAAAAACATTCTGCATTATGCATTTGTAGGAGCTGCTCCAGTGAGTCTGGGACACATCAAGGCCGAAGTGATCGCCGATGTGCCAGGGACTAATGCATCCCAGGATTCCCTCGTGAGAGAGTGGGCTCTCTCTCTCCCTGCTCTGACCCCTTTCTCAGAGGAAACCATCTTTTTGTCTCCACTGTGTGTGTTTTAACTTTCATTTAATCTTGCTGTCTTTATTGCCCGATTTGAAGAATAAAGATGTGCTTTATGTGAATAATTTCCCCCCCAGTATGGGGGGAACATATAGGCTGCTGTCTGTAAACCTGACCTCGTCTCTGGTGGACGGCGGGCCTGTCCAGGTGTCGGCATGTGTGTTCAGCTCCCTGTGCCAGTACTACAGTGTCAGGGAAGGGCGATGGAGCAGGGATGGTCTCCTGCCCCTGGAGGGCACCACACTACACACCGCACACTGCCTGACTCGACATCTCACCATGTTTGGGGCCAGTGTGTTCGTTCATCCTGGCGCCGTCGTTCTGCTTCCTCCAGTATGTGAGAACACAACCGTTAATGTAGCTGTTACTCCTCACAAGGACAGCTATCCTGAACACGAAGTCTGCCCTTATTTGTGTGTATGATGTCTGCAGGCGGGGCCCGTGAGGAACGTGGTGGCCGGGATTGTGTGTGCTGTCCTGGTTCTGCTTCACCTGCTCGTGGGACTGGTTGCACACAAACTGGACCACTTGGACAGCCTGAGACTGAGCCAGGTCCCTCTGTGTGGCAGACCAGGATTGTACCACTACAGAGTGCTGGTGAAGACTGGCTGGAGGCCAGGGGCAGGTCAGCAACGAAACACAATTTCAGATATTTAAAAAAAAACGCCTTTTTGTGTTTCTGTCTTTGTGAAACATCAAACTGTGTAAAATGCAAATGATTAACACTACAGTACGAACCCTCTCAGGCACCACCGCACATGTTGGCATTAGTCTGCACGGCATGAACAAGAGTGGCTCTCGCCATCTGCAGCAGGACGGAGCTTTTCAGCGTGGCGGCCTGGACCAGTTTCAGGTGGAGACAGATGACAACCTGGGGGAGATCTGGAAAATTCGCATCTGGCATGACAATACAGGTATTTGGTAACCTGCCACAGACATAAAAACTCAAATTAAACTGATCTGCCACAGCATTAGAGCCATGAAGATGAGGTAAATTGCTCCATTATCTCGTTCTCAGTCATTAGACAGCTGCAAACTAGAACAGAGAGGAAGTACAAAAGTACAATTACGTCAGATATTATATTTATTTATTTTATTTTGAATAATTATATTTGTAATGCCTGCTCACTTTGATTGCTAAATTATGATCCGAAATCGTCCCTGTAATTGCTGCAGTTCATCTATTTGTGCATGCTTCTATGCAAGAAAAGGCTGAGGTGAACAGTGGCACTCGGTAGTCTCAACTCCTTTCATGTCTTTGCAGGGTTGGATCCTTCCTGGTATGTTCAGCATGTGGTGGTTTGGGATTCTCAAACAGATCACATGTTCTTCTTCCTGTTGGATGACTGGCTCTCTGTGGAGAATCAGAGGAGCAGCACGGTGGAGAGAGAAGTTCTGGCCTCGTGTAAGCTTATCTCCATCTGCTTCAAGTTGCAAAACGTATTGTCAGTTTTTCATGATGTTCTACAGAATTTCTATGCAGAGACTAAATGACAAGCAAAAAAAAAATAATGCAAAGATCTGGCACTGAGAAAAGAAAAACCTTAAAGGTATATATTAAAGAACGGGAAGCAAACAACTTAAGGAGCAAAAAATTGAACCAAAAAGACACAAAAACTAATGGATGATGATGTAATACTAATCTATTAATTATTCAGACACCAAAAAGCTTTGTTACAGGCAGCCTCTTGCACGGACACCTTTTTCTCTCTTTTTTAGTTGCACATTCAAACATATTAAACATATTACCATTGTTTAAAAGACATAAATTGCATAAAGTGATTTTCTTAAAAAATGCAGAGTAAAAGATTCCAGATTTGTCTCAAAGGTCCTAAATCAAATGTTTTTCCTTTTATGAACGGACATTACTATCAGATACTCATTATTATACATTTTCCTTAAAAAAAAGAATCCTGGCACCCATTGCCCAGGACAGCAGGCCCCACCTTTCACCTGTGAGCTTGTCTTTTACAGGCCCAGAAGAGCTTACCGAATTTGGACGAGTTCTCACCTCCCAGCTCATATTTGGGATGGTGGGGCGCCACCTGTGGCTGTGGCTTTGGGGGCAGCGCACTCACAGCTGTTTCACCAGAGCTCAGAGGGTTTGGAGCTGCGCCCTCCTGCTCCACCTCTACCTGGCGCTGGGAGCCCTGTGGTACGGGGCAGTTAGCTTTGAAGGACACAGGTGAGACGGTCTACCTGAAGATCCCAGCTACATTTAAATTAATGTTCTCCACAGAAAGCCGAATTTAAGATTACTGCTATAAAAACCAATATAACAGGAGGTACTAACAGGATGAAACTGATTTGTATCCCTTTTTAAAAAAAAAAGGATAACGGAGTCAAGCCATTCGATCGTTAATGGGGAGATGGTTGCTGTGGGGATGGGCATTGCTCTACTCGTCTTTCCTCTCCAGTGCTTCCTCTGTTTCTTGTTTGAGAGAACTCACGGTCAGGTAATTTCATTCTTTTTTTGTTGTTGTTATTTGGTCAATTTGCACCATTTCTATTACCCAAATGAGCAGCAGGTTGATATTTCTGTGTGGCTGTATCCCAGGTCACAGTAGAGATGTCAGTCCCACCCTCGCCGGTTTGTCACTCTGTGGAAATGGATGTCTGCCTCTCCCAGTCGGATATCCCGAATCCCTCCTACTTGTCTCTACCAGATTCCTCCGGACTACTTCATGATAGTCCTTCATCCGTAAGAGAACAAACAAACACTGACACACAAACATACATGCAGTTACTCCTCTGCTCGTGTCTCATTTGTTGGAATCATATTTCAGTTGTTTCCTCTGACTGTTTCCAGTTGCTAGAGAGTAAGGCGTTAGACTCCAGTATCTTGGACTTCTGGGCCGCCTCTGGCTTGGTCCCCCAGAGAGATGAAGCATATGAAGAGGACGGTGTAAAGTCATGGCCTTCATCTGACAGCCTAGTGGATGGACCTGCAGGATCATGTCCTGTAACTCTTACACCCGAACCCTGCAGGGCTTCCCCCGTTCAAGGCCCTACACACCAGCTGAGGAGGAAAAAAGCCCTGATGCAGCTCCACCTAGCCCTGCCTGCATCAGGTGTCTCCTCCGCTGCCCCTCCTCCTTCCCCTTGCTCGAATTCCCTTCCTCGCAACAGTTCATATGACTCCTCTGTTCAGCCGGGCCAGATGTTTCTCCACGTGAACCCCAAACCAGTCCCAATCCATAACCGCAACATGTCAACCCTGCTAACTCTTTCTGGTGAGTTTCTTAATCCGTTTGCATCAAAGGTGTTACTTTTCCCAAGATTAAAGTAGTACCGAAAGAGCCACCCAGCTCATGGTACTGGATATGACTACCAGTACCAGAAGTCGCATCCAGGGATTCAAATTGAGTCACACAGAAATATACTCCTTTGAGGCAACCAAGTTTTAGTCCAAGTCAGATGCACTTTTTTCTATAGATTCAAGAATCTCCTAAAGACACAAAGTAGCTTGGCTGTATAGGTAGGCTCCCCATGGACTGAGACCATACTACTGCAAACTATTACTCAACCTTCAGTTAAGGGCTTATGCTGCATGTGATCTGCTCAAAGTCTCCACCAATCAGTTAACTTAAAGACTAATAAAACACCAGATCTGGACTCACTTGCCTTTCTTTATCTGTTGTACTTGAACTCTATCAGTCAAGTCAGTTCTGTTTGATTTGACACTTCCTGACATTAGTTAACAGAGGACGGCCCCATGCTCAAAATGTTCTCCACTTGCATATATTTTGTTCTTGGTTCCAGAGGAGGATCTGCTCATGTCCATAGCCGCGGCAGAGGACACATCCGATGCAATCAACAGCAACTCTGACAGCGGGAGGGACTCCCCGAGAACCACTTCCTCATTCTCAGCCACGTGAGGAGCAACTCCGTCCATCTTTCAGATGGTTTTGTGTTGCAGAGAACGCTGCCTATACATGAATGTTGTCCTCTTTTTAGGCAAAGCACCTCTTGGAGCAGCTGGTCAGAGGAACAGAGCGAGGACAATTCTCTGAATAAAGCAAAGCTCAGCCAACCTGTCCCTCCGTCCATCCCTCCAATCCAGGCAGAGAAACTCAGCGAGTGCTCCTCTGTTCTTTCGGTGGAATCTGTGGCTAGCACTTTCCTGCCAGGCTCTGTTGACAGTTCTGTGCACTCCACCTCTACCACACATTTAGGTAAGGGGCCAGGCTTATTATCAGAGGGGCAGAGAAAAGCTAAGGCCTTTAAAAGCTGCGTTTGCGTGTTACACCATTGTCTGACTGGTTTTATTACACATCCAGACATTTGAGTAACGGGGCACCTGGACAATCTAAATTAGATGTAGGAGTTGGGACACGCGTTACCCCCTGACTATATGTCTATGAGATAAAAACCTCCCTGTCTCTTACCTTATTTGTGTTACTTTATGCTCCAGTCCAGCAAACCCTGAACTTGAAGGCAGGTATATAATACAAGTGCACACTTTGAGCTCCATCTGAGCAAAGTGAATACGCCTTCCCTTCCCTTCCCTTACCCGACTTCAGCTTCAGCTAGCATCAGCTATGATCCATCTTCATCTTGTGGCCCTCAAAATGACAATAATCCCAACTTTGAACAGAAAATTGACACAGAGATGTTTACACCATAAGAAGGCATTAATTCTGGAATGGCTGAGCCCATAGCCCAACTGAAAAGCTAAGGGGCAACATAAAACATAACGTATAGTTGATCTTACAGTTGTAGACATTTTTTATGATGAAGAGTGAGTTGGCTTATACTCGGTATGCGTTTTGTATTTGTTGGTCTAATGAATTGTATGGTTAAAATAACATAAAGTGAGCAAAAATATCTGGCCTGAAATGTTATTAATGAAACATGTATTGGACAGATTCTGTCAATCCCACCTTTATAGTCAGGGGAAATACTTTTTGATAAAAACAATAGGAATTCTTCTCATGTCTAGTTACTATAATTGAGTTACTGGAAACTACTGATAAGGTAGTTAATAATGGACTTTTGTCCACTGTTTGGCAAAAAATTGGTTAGTAATCCAGGTGTCTGCTGTTCTGTTCTCCCTCTGTAGGAGTTGCCAGAGCTCAGCCCAGCTGGCTGCTCCCTCCCTGGGCGCTGTGTGTCATTTACCCCGTCGTGGCTGTGTTGCTGGGGGCCTGCCTTGCAGTGGTGGGACTCTATGGAAGCCTCTTCTCCAAAACGGTTTTATTCATGTGGCTGGTGTCTGCTCTTTCTGCCCTTTTTACCTCCGTTGTGCTGCTGGAGCCACTCAAGGCCAGTTCAAACACAATTAATTCCAACTACCTGATTTATCTTTGCAAATTTAAGGAAAAAAAACAAAACAACAGAAATCTCTCTTGATCAGGTTTGTGCACAAGCCTTGATGTATACAGCGCTGTGGAGGCCCGTGGATCCTGAAGTGGAGGAGCGGCTGGCTCAGGACACCACGGTGGTCAGGGCCCGTGGAGAGCCCGGCGGGAAGGTCCGGCCGCCGTGCGGCTTCGGGCTGCTGCAGGCCAGAGAAGAGGCCCGCAAAGTCCGAGCCCTGCGGATTCTCATGAGGGTCGGGATGAGAGACGAGCGCTCGGCGGTTGTTTTGTCCTCGGAAGCGTGCGGTCTTGTTTTTAATCGTCCTTTTGCTGCTTCCCCGCAGCACTGCGTGGGCCAGCTGTTGTTCCTGCTGCTGGTTCTGATGGAGAACCACCAGGACAGGTGGGAGCAGAGGCAGGGCGGGCTGCTGCTCTCCGCCGTCCGGCAGCAGCTCCGCACAGCACCCACGGGGTCCCCTAACCTCACCTCACTCAGAGAGTAAGCACGACGCTTGACTTCCCGCTGTCAAAACGAGCACCGCTCCACACCGCACGAATGCTCAGAGCAGAAAATATGAAGCACACATCAGTCCCTGTTTGAATCAGAGCACCGAGGTTCTATATTTTGACCAGGCTGGTATTGTTTGGGTATCATCTTGAAAGCGAGACAGAGCCTGAGTCATGAATATAGCGTTTTTTAAATGACGCCATTAATAATAATGGCAACATTTAAACAAAATGTTTTAAATAAGAAGTTCATTGTTGCTTGATTTTACAATTGAAAATGAAAAATGGAAATCCCGTGCAGTTCTTTGGCTACAGAGGACAACCTAAAGAGGTTTGATCTGGGAGTCTGAGATGAGTTGTGCATTTTAGTGGTGGTCCCGCTCGTAGCTGAGATGTGGAAACAACTCAGCGGGGGGGAAACTCTGTGCGTGGGCGCGGTCTATTGCACAGATGGTGCTGCATAAATCAGTACCTCCATCTCGTCTCTCGAGCACGGTGGAAGTGGTGCTGAATCAAACTATGTCGAAAAGAATAAACACATCCCATAACAGGTAGATTGAGGATGCAGAATTATTATATAGGCCTTTAAATGCTGTTATCAAAAGACAAGAAAGAGGCTTTTAGAACCAGGAAAACGAAGGTGCAGTGTCAAAAAAATACTTTTAAATCAACTTTACACTGGTCATATTTTTCTAATGGATCAAATAGAAAATAAGAAAAAGTGTTTGATATGAGTTTCTTAAAAAAAGTCTAGTAAGTGAGTTACAAGAGGGAATTTCTTCCCATAGGTCACAAGGTTTGGTGTTAGAATTCCTCTCTCTCTCTTCACCCAGCTGGTCAGATGCTGAGCTGTGGATCGGTCACACCTTGGTGCCACACCTCCACCAGAACCCCGGCCTGCGGCTGGCAGGACTGCCCCGGCTGCACTTCAGACACGCGCTCGGGCTTTTGGAGGAAGTTTTCCTGGGAAACAGCAGTGAAGCAACCCTCGGGCTTCTGGCCGGGACTCAGCTGGCCGACAAAAGCAGGAGACAGTAGGTGGATTAATGACAGCAGGCTCTCCGCCAGACACACCAAGTCTGTATTTATGTTTATTTTTATTGTTCAGGTATTGAGTTACTCATTAAAAAAATACAAAAAGCATTTAATCTCATTAAAACTTCCTCCGAAACCAAAGTCATAGGGTTTTTTTGGTAAATGCCTCTGTCAACAAAGTGTGCTAGAGTTGATATTTTCTCATGACGTTAACCTGAACTGATATTTCCTGCAAGTTCCTTTTTAGTTTTTTTTTTTTACCTAATGCAAATGTTTTGTTCTTTTAACCCCAGGTTTACAACCCTGGCTATCGACTTCACACATTACCACAGAGAGACCGGATTATTCATCTGTGTGTCTGTGGGGCTGAAGTTGACTCGGACACAGGGGGTCACCTCCCTCCTCTCCATCCATCCGCTGTTCATCCCCTCATCTTCCTCAGGGATGGAGTTTCCTGTTGCGCTCGCGGTAACAAACCCGTCCTCTTTTTTCCGATTCAGAACTTGTTGCGTGGTCTGTTTAACTGGCTGGTGTTGTGCCGCAGATTCTTCTCCTCATCTCTGCGCTTTTCATCGTGTTCGGGGAGCTGTGGTCCGTGGTCGTGGAGCGTGCCCAGTACGTTCATCGGTGCCATCACTGGCTCCAGCTGCTCATGGCCTTGTTGTCTATGGCGACAGCCACTCTCCAGCTTTGTTCCCTCTCTCTTTCTTCTTCATGTGTGTCAGAGGTACCTAATCCATAGTCGCCACTAAGAATTTTAATGACAGCATTACGTGCTCTGCTCCGGATTCCCTGCTAAGTTCAACGCCCTCTATGTAAACCATTCAGCTGAAAATCAAGCCAGACAACTTCATCGATTTCCATGAAGCCGCCTCCCTGGCGGTGAGGTTCTCTCAGTGTGCAGCAGTGCTGCTTTCTCTGCTGGTTCTCAAGGTAAATTGGAGCCCAGGTTGCAAATTCTGCTCGTTCCCAGACACTACTTGAGCTAATCTCTGCTCCCTCGGTGTGTTCTAGCTGCTGGGAACCTTACGGTTTGTGCGGCGGTGGGTGATCATAGGCAGAGTGCTGCGGAGAGCCTGGAGGGAACTGTTGGCGGCGGCTGTATTGCTACTTCTGCTGTTGATGCTCTGCACTCACCTCGGGAACATGGTATGGTATGGTGGAGCTTAGATAAATATTCAGAAAAGACAAGTGTGCTTGATGTGGCTATATCTTTGTTTCAGCTTTTCTCCCAAACGGTGGAAGGTTTCCTATCGGGAGAGGAGGCCGGCGTCTCAGTCCTGTCCATTCTGCGGAGCCGGACGGTGCTCCAAAAGCTCTGCAGGGTTCATCCAGTCCTGGGACCTCTCTATGGACTGTTACTGATGGGGGGGAGCGTTTTTCTTTTTACCAAACTATGTGGAGCCGTTCTCCTCCACACCTATAGGTACATATAATTTCCCTTTTGTTGGTTAAATCTCTAGCTAGTTTATCCAGAAACAAAATTGTGTGATGAAGTTTTTAAAGTGCATCAGGTTTCCTTTGGCTTTGTTAGCCTGGCTTTTCTCTAACGTTGATGGCAGAGGGCAAACAACATTTAAAGTTTTCTGAAGAGGGAACTAATGCTTGGACCTAAAATCAGCGTATTATGGTCCAGGTGCACTGGTAATACTCAGTATGAGGGCAGAGTAAACAAACAGCTATTGGATACAGATGTCACTTAGTGTGAAAATGCATGATACAGTTTTGTTTGAACCACTTTAAAACTCTTCAGATTTGGGTGCTTTGTGTTGCCACGAAGAAAAGTTGTTCTCGGTCTCTTTATAAATAGCTCTCAGCCACATTTTCTTCACAGAATGCAAATCAATACAAAGAGACATCACTTAGCTGACTCTTCCTTTGTATCACTAAGATTAATTGATATAACTTATGGGTTTGCTGTGTTCCAAATGGAGAACCAATTGAATGTTTACAATATTCTGGGTTCCAACGCTAACTGTTGCTTTCTCCTCAAGGGAAGAGCAAGATGGGCTCTTCCATCCAACCATCGGACCCCAGGATTATGAAATGGTGGAGTTCTTCATCAAGAGACTCAAACTCTGGATGGGAATAACCAAGGCTAAACAGGTAGACGCAGCATGAACCTTATTCTTTGTAACAGTGAGTTATGGTGTTTTGTAACTGTACGTCTTTCTTTGGCTCCTCTAGTTCAGACACAGGGTGACGTTTGAAGGCATGAACATCCCTCCCTCTCGATCCTCACGGGATTCTTGTTTCTCCATCTTGAGCTCCACCCTTCCTTCTTCCCGCTCCTCCTCTTTTTCATCCTCACCATCATTGCCCCAACAACTTCCTTTCGATACTTCTTTCATCTCTGACGACTTACCAGTGAGCAGTCCAAGGTTTGAAGTCCAGTCTTACCTGGACAACCTGGACCCCGTAATCGATGATCTGCTGTTACGTTTTGACCGAGTAAACCAATTAACTGAAGACATTCATGACCTGGAAATTCAGCTAGAGGAAGCTCAGTCCAGGAGAAGGAAAAGGCGGATGAGCACCCGGGAGAAACGAGAAGGGATATTAGTAGAATTAGAAAAACCAAAGGAACTAGATGAGGACAGAACAAAAGAAGTAAGACACAGAAAGGTGGGGATTCTTCACCCAAGGCCACAGAATTCTGTCACGTCTTTGTTTCCAATCTCGTCCTCACCATCTCAGTCATGCGTCTTTCCCCGAGTACGGAACTCCTACTCTGAATCAGAGTCACTGCCAGCCCAACAGCCGATTTACAGCGAGAGTTCTTCTCAAGCTGCCTCACCTCAGTCTGGAATCTGTGGCTTGAACATGAGTTCCACAGGGTTTGGCTGGATCCCTCGAAGGAGAGCGTGGCATTCAGGGAGCTCTCATTCAGCTGACGTTGCTCAGAGGCCTTTCCGGCCCTCTGGGGATACTCTATGTAAGGGTGGAGAAGAACATTTTGAACTTACAAATGCCAGGCCTAGAAGTGAGGAGGGGTTAAGAGGGTGTATCTGTGATGGGCTTCCACCTAAGAGGAAGGCTTGGATCTCTGAGGGACTGGAGACTGAGGAAGACTAACAATGTAGAAAGAAACTGTAGACTTCTCTCTATTCTGAATGACTTTTGTGGGATTTATCTATTGTCAGTTTTATAAGAAAATCCATTCTTTTCTTTAACACTGTTTCAAGGAGTTGACAAATGTCTGCAATACAGAAAAAGACATCCAAATGACAACATCCTAGATTTGCTATCATTTTTACCGCTCTGACTATTTAAAAAAAGCTTAAGTATTAAATAGTGTTAATAGAGATGTTTTTCTACATATTATTTTACTTTAATACATTGAGACACCGTTCTTCAAGACACTGTACATGTTTTGATAGATAGATTAATAAAGATGTAGCTGCTCAAAAATGTTGGTGGTTATTACATTTGACAAATGTTAAAACAAACGAAAGAAGAAAAATACACAGAGGTTCTTTAAAGTGGTGGTTTTCAGCTTGTTCTAAATGCTTACACCTCAAGTAAAAGTAGTAGCAGAAGTGATTATTTCCTCTTTCGCTGCCTGCATAAAATGAAGAGTAAGAGTCCCAAATCTGACCTACTTATGGAAATGCCACCTTTAATTCTTCAGAGAAATATTCCTCACCGGTTTAAAAAAATAAAACTTATACTTTCTTTTTTGTGAATACACACTTTTCAGTTATCCGGTGAAATTAACTGTTTCCCTGTGAGACGACGTCAACCAAGTACAAGTTGTTTTTTTTATTGGATTTTTTATTGATTCGAGCAGTGGATTGGGCTTCTGTTCCCGGTTGTTTAAACGTACTCCCTGCAGGCCATCGTGTGCCCGGTGACGGTATTGCAATAACAGCGTCCAAACCTCGTTTGCGGACAAGTTTTGACAGCCTGTGTATGTGTTAACACAATAGCTGACGTTAGCTCTCCAAGGAAACGCACTTGCTGGATTAAGATGTTAAGATTAGCATGGCGTCGTTCGGCGTCTAAAGGGGGCTTTGGGGAGCCAGTGCGCCTTGTCACGGCTGCTTTTCTGGGAGCGGACAATTCACAGCAGAGCTCAGAGAATTACATCAGTTGTTTCAGGCAAATTCCCCACCTACCAAGTGACAGGTCACCGCTCCTCAAGGCTCAGCCGGCCTGCTACCTCAGGTAAAGCTACCACGGCTAATAGGTGGCGAGGGCTAGCTCAAAGTTAACCTTGCTAGGATGTGTTACAGCAAGCACAGCCGGCCCAAATGGGTAAATTAGCGTCACGTTTTCCCACATTTGATGTTTGCTAGCGACGTCAAAGTAGCTAAGAATGCGAGCGTGCAATGCTTTTGTGTAAGATATTCCATTGCAAAAGCGTGCGTTTTAAAAGTCACCAGCATTAACTGCCACCAGGAAAAACAGAACAGCGAGCACAGGCTATGCTTGTAGGTCGAAATCGCCTGTGTTAAAGTTCGGCATAGCTACACATGCCAAACTTAAAAGTTTTCCTCATAAAAATTCGTTACTGAGCGCCTTGTCTACAGGACGATACCCCTCTGATAACGGTTAACATTAGCAATGTCCTTGCAGTTGTTATATGCTGAAAATATAGGGATATTAGCCGTGTATTTATCAAGAATACCCCCCGAATTTGCAAAAAAAAGGTTGTAGATTTGGTTAAAGTTTCACTCGTGTTTTGCGAGGTGTAACAATTGTGAATTGTAAGCCAAATTACTAAATAAGGGAAAATTCAAATGAAATTCGGCACGGCAGTGGGTTTGCTAACAGCTGGTGTTAAAGAGCCCTCACATGTGGCAGAGCGGTGCCCAACTAGCTTTGATAAGAACAGCGTGGAAAATGCTTAGAATAACTACTAACAAGTCGACCGACGAATAAAACCAGCAGTTAAATCTCATATTGTTGAATTAAAAAAAAATGTATGCAGTGCAGGGTTTATATCGTCTAAATTCAATGTTTTGTTTTATTTCAACAGCAGATGAGCTCAACCATTTTTTACATTATAAATTCAAATTGGCAAAGACTGTAAAAATATCATGAGTGAACGTATTGTATTGTGGGTGTAGTCCATCTGTCCTAACGAGGATGGCATCAGGGGGTGAAGGGTCAGCGTCCAGTCCCCACAAACATACCAACAGGTTGGCCAAGGAGAAGTCCCCCTACCTGCTGCAACACGCACACAACCCTGTGGACTGGTAAGTCCTTTAGTTTTATACCTTTCCTAAAAGTTGAAAATGAATTATCTAATGTGAGTTTAATCTTTCAGGTATCCATGGGGACCGGATGCTTTTGAGAAGGCAAAAAATGAAGACAAACCCATTTTTTTGTCAGGTAGAAGCTCTTTTCAGACAGTGTAGCAAAAATATAATTGGACTGTCTTCTTAATTCACCGTAGTTGTGCTTTTATAGCAGCAAATCTGCAGTCTCTGAAACCCAGTCTGTCTCTTACCACCAGTGGGTTATTCGACGTGCCACTGGTGCCACGTTATGGAGAGGGAGTCATTTGAGGATGAAGAAATTGGTAAAATCCTCAGTGACAACTTTGTCTGCATCAAACTGGATAGAGAGGAGAGACCTGATGTGGACAAGGTCTACATGACTTTTGTTCAGGTGGGTTTACACGTGTTCCTTCTTTTAATCCTCTCTCAAAAAATGCTTCATGCTGCTTCTCTTTGTGTATTGACTTTTTTTTTCCAATTTTGCCGGCTGATGTTTCCAGGCAACAAGTGGTGGCGGCGGTTGGCCCATGAGTGTCTGGTTGACCCCCGATCTCCGTCCTTTCATTGGAGGCACTTATTTCCCCCCCAGAGATCAAAGAGGAAGACCTGGGTTCAAGACGGTCCTCACCAGAATCATTGAACAAGTAATTCTATTTTTCTCAAATGCAGATCATAGCGTGTAGTTTTAGTTTATGCAAAGATGGTATGCCAACTTGAATTTGGGTACATATAAAGGCATTAAAGTAAGCCTTTCATTCACTCAGTGGCGAAACAACCGCGCTACGCTAGAGTCCAGTGGTGAGAGGATCCTGGAGGCTCTAAAGAAAGGCACGGCCATCACTGCAAACCCAGGAGAAAGTCCTCCATTGGCCCCAGATGTTGCTAACCGCTGCTTCCAGCAGTTGGCTCACTCCTATGAGGAGGAGTATGGAGGCTTTCGGGATGCTCCTAAGTTCCCCACACCAGGTAGGCTTACTATTGGAGTAAGATTGATCAACTCAAGGTAGTCTTTCACAGAAAAATATAGTCACCAGAGATCAGGAGCTTTTTCTGGCACCGTGGGTATCCAACACAGGGAACAGCAAATAAATGAAGGCATGTAAAGAAATAAAAGCAAAATATAAGGTGACATATTTAAGTTGTACTTTTGACAGTTCTTTCTGGGTTGGGCTACTCGTACAAAACTAAACAAAAACAAAACATTTCTATGTTGTTGATTTTATCTCTTTATTATTTACACGCTACTGTCTCATCTCATGTTGAGCCCCAAAGTCTATAAGGTGTAACACCTTAGAGTAATCACTCTTGTTGTTTTTGAAAACATGTCTACAAACAGCAGGTGCTGGTTTACAAACCGTATTAATGGTTTGTACAACTGTGTTTGCTGTTTGTAAATGCAGGATTGTGTTTACAAACTGCGTTGAACAAACTCTCTGAGAACTGTTTGTATCTAACGTTTCAAATCAGCCATTCAAGCGAGACGAAGAGGAGAAGATGATGAGCAGACAGGCAGAATGATGACTAAATGTTTCATGATTATTTGACAGTGGTATCCTAAACATCTGCACAACCTTGGGATTAGGTGCCACATTACCTTTTTTAATTACCTTTTTAATGACTGGCTATTTCATTTCACTTTTAGTTACTTTCTGTTGTTCAAATTTACTTATCAGTCATACAGGAGCAAGAAGACACATTTTAAAATATTTGCTGAAAAACATTTCTAATCTTTGTGGGATGCAGTGGAACTACAGGTGGCTGTAAACTGAAGAAATCTTTTTGGACTGCAGCCACTGCCTCCTCCTCCTATGGATGGGCTCTCCTCACCTGACAAAATGTTCTTGTTTTTCTTCTCCATAGTGAACCTCATGTTCCTCATGTCTTACTGGGCCATGAATCGCTCCACCTCAGAGGGAGTGGAGGCTCTGCAGATGGTCATGCACACACTCCGCATGATGGCGCTGGGAGGCATCCATGACCACATAGCACAGGTTCATACTGACTGTGTGAACTGTTTAAATTCTTTCATGCTACATTATTACTTGCGCAATTTTTTTTACGTCTTCTATAGCAGAGCCTTGACTAAATGTAGACCATAGCAAATTTTAATGAATCACCCTCATAGTCACTTAGATTGTTTTTCTTTTAACTGCTCCTGAAACGCTTTATTTAAACAATTTGTTGCAGTTTCAGGCTAAAAGTTGTAAACCTCATTTCATGTAGTTTAATCATTTATAATTTGAATTGGCCCAGTAGGATCAGTTTTATGGTCATAAATCAAGCGAACATTCAGATTCGTCACATGTTCTTGATTATACACATAAACCATCACATAACCAAGCTAGATGCCTACTGGATAATACTGATCTAATAATGACAGTATTTACACAAATGTTTGCTTTTTGATGTAATTTGAATTTACGGTTTGAAGTCATTTTTATTTGAGTTTTTATTGTGTCAATAACCAGTTAATGACTATCAGGCTAAGTGTGGTGTCGCATACAAGTTTAACCTTTTGTTTCTTTTTGTGTGTCTCCTGCATTATTATTGTGCATATTTTGGTACATTTTCATTGTGGATGCATACCCAAATGCAACAACAGTGAAAAAAAATATTTGAAGGAGAAGGCATCCTTTAAATCTTTGTAAATAAATGTGTAAATTTATATTTGGTTCATTCTTTTGTTTGGATCAGACTTTCATGGAGGACAATATCAGCTAAGATATAATTTCCTGAGCATTTCTAACTGATGACTGATGGCAGTGTCCCCTCCTTTATTTTCTTCTTTTTTTTTGTCTTTTCCGCAGGGTTTTCACCGCTACTCCACAGACTTTTCCTGGCACGTTCCTCACTTTGAGAAGATGTTGTATGACCAGGCCCAGCTGGCTGTGGCCTACATAACAGCTTTCCAGGTGTGTTAAGGCTGGCCACACGTGTGTGCTGTTCCTGCTCGCATTACACCCATCCACAAAAAAAAAAAAAGCATAGCATAATAGAAAAGAAAGGTGCAGCAGAAAAAAAACAAGCAAAACGGTCTCATTTGAGCGCTGCAGCTTTTCGAAAAGGCCTGGTTTTGTCCATATAAACAGAGGCTGGGAAAACAACATAATTAGGACACAAGCTAACTCTAATCCGGTCACACATATAGAACATTCTGTAAATTTAATGAAGACATAAAGGCTGCCTCAGCATCATCATGGGAAACAGCCATGCAAATAAATCACGTGTTTCTACCTTTGAACTTCTGCTCCAGTTGAATCATGAAGCTCACGCAGGTGCGCCCTGTGCGCTTGTGCTCCTACAGGTATCAGGTGAACAGTTCTATGCAGATGTGGCTAAGGACATACTGCTCTACGTCTCCAGAGACTTAAGTGATAAGGTGAAGCATCTACATTTCTGTTACCACTCTCTCTCTGTCTGTAAATTGTCTTGTGTATGCCACCAACCCCATTGACTGATTTCCACATTAAATGTCATTTTCTGTATACTCTGTGCAGTCAGGAGCTGCTGAGATATTACATTTAACACATTTTAGTGATGGTAAACAAAAATAAGTTTTTTAGCATGGTAGTCTGACCAAGTTTGTGAAAGTTGTAAGTTTCATAGTTTAAAAAAAAAAGGGATGTGTATTTCAATTTGATTAGTTTCCAAACTTTTCACTTCAGCAGAAATAGATTTAAATGAGTGACATGCTGTTCAAAATGAATAATTCACTTTTTAAAGCTCCAACATTTTGGTATTTACTTTGATAGCTGCTCATTAACCCCGATTATTCATCAAGTGAATGAAAATATTCTCTCAAATAACTCTGAAAAGTGATAGGCTTCCACTCTTCTAAATGTAAAAACCGGATTGCTGTATTTCTTTACTATTTTGCACAACTATTTCATTTTAAGAAAATTGCTCTTTATGCTATCTCCTCAAACATTTTTTTTTGTTATTTGAAGAAATGAATAATCTTTTTTCTTCCTTTCTCTCTAGTCTGGAGGCTTCTACAGTGCAGAGGATGCAGACTCTGTCCCGGCATCGGGGGGCCAAGAAAAGCGAGAGGGAGCCTTCTGTGTGTGGACGGCCTCAGAAGTGCGGGAGCTCCTGCCAGATGTGGTGGAGGGAGCCACTCCGGTGGCCACGCAGGCCGACATCTTCATGCACCACTACGGGGTCAAGGAGCTGGGCAATGTCGAACCAGAGCAGGTGATTTGACTAGTTTGGTTCAGTCAGAGGGCTTTAAGGTGAAAACACTTTTCAGACACAACAATAACTCGGTAGTGCTTAACAAAGCACTAAGATTAAATACATTCATTGAAAAAATGAAAACAACTGAAATGTGCAACTGAACAGAGCAGTGATTTAAAAAGTAAGAAAAAAAGATAAAGATATTGGTTTAAAGAGAGGCCAGGGAACACAGTAGAGTTTTCATATTAACTGTAAATGTGTCCAGAGCTGTTACATTTGATATAAAGAATACGTTTATGCCATCTTTTACAACGGCCTGAAGTTATTTAGTTCTGAAAAACCAAAGACAACAGGTTGACTGCCTGTGTTTGATGCTGTCAGGACCCTCACGGGGAGCTGCAGGGGCAGAATGTGCTGATCGTCCGTTACTCGGTGGAGCTCACAGCCGCTCGCTTCGGCATCACGGTCGAGAAAGCCAACGAAGTCCTGGCCAGCGCCAGAGCCACGCTGGGGGAGGTCAGGAAGACTCGGCCACGCCCGCACCTGGACACCAAAATGCTGGCCTCCTGGAACGGTAGATCTCCAACCATTTCCACTTCTCTGCCTTTTGTTTAGCTCGCTCCAGAAATAGGCAGGGATTGATTTCCATAACCTTCCCTCGGCAAAATCCGATGCTCCTTACCGTCATTTGTCAGGCAGATCGTCTCTCAGTGATTGCTGGAGCACACATTTAAACACACACGTTCACACACACCTGCAGATTTAGCCCAACAGCTGATGTCTGGAGACGGTTGGTCGGTCAGGTAATGAGGCTCTGCAATCCCAGGAACTTCCCAATTAAAGCCCGGCCCCTTTCTCCCCTCTAATGAACAAACCCCTCCGTTAATCACCTGTCCTCACTTTGAAGACCGGGCTGCGCACCGGCGGCTTTGATTCGCCACATGAAAGAGGAGCGCAGGGGAATGGATGTGAAAAGGGGGACGAGAGAAGGAATGAAAGCGAGCGCGGCAGCTTCAAAGAGAGACATGGCCACCTTTTCAGAGAGGGTTTAAAGAAGGGTAATATATTTTTTCTTTTTTTTTTCCCTCCGTCAGGCCTGATGCTGTCGGCCTACGCGCGCGTCGGAGCCGTGCTGGAGGACGAGGCCCTGCTGGAGAGAGCGGTGCAGGCAGCCAGCTTCCTAAGGGAGCACCTGTGGGATGCTGAGCAGCAAGCCTTACTCCGATCTTGTTACAGCGGTGATCAGTCGGAAGTGCAACAGATGTAAGAGGCAAAGCTTTGATGAGAGATGGCAGTGTTGTTTCGGTTTTGAAAAAAGTGTTTTTCTTTCTTTCTTTCTTTCTTTGAGTGTGTGAGCATGTTTGAGCAAACCTTTATTTGGAATTTATTTTATTTGCCGTTCAGCTTGACGTGACCAGAATGTGCTGCATAGGTCATTTTGTCAAATTCTTATCTTTTGAAAAAAACCTTTTTCTCCTATAGAAGCCATTAATTTAAAGAAAATCAGACAGACAGACCCAGACACTTGGAAAGCCTTAGCTTCTGTGTATCCTCATTTTTGAAAGGTTAGAAATCCTCCCGAGTGGAATAGAGGTGCAGGTATTCCAGCTATCTCCCCATTGCCCACATTTGCATACAGAGCAGTTAATGTCAGCTGAGGCCTTAGCATTTAAACAGCTTCTTCAGATTAGCATACCACAGATGAGGTTGTGTTGGGACTGCATGGGTATTACGTAGAGGCAATCTAACTTTAGAATTCTGAACAAGTAAACACTGTTTTCACAGCATGCGGCAGCTTCCCAGATCATATGCTCATCTTCACATTTTCATACTGTGAGCAGGTTTTGGCTTCTTTTTTGTTTGGGTCACAGCCTTTTTGACAGTCTCAGATGTGACTTTTCTGGCTAACTCTGTAAAGGTTGTTTTCTCTTTAAGTGCAAACCGGCCACGAACAGATGTGTACTCGGCAGATTAGCGGGAAGCCATGTCGGGGTAAATCAGGTTACAGTCAGAAATCAGAAAACATGCTCTTGTGCACCGCAGTAACCCGGTTACGCTTAATGTGATGTCGTCCTCTGGCCTCCGTCGTGGTGCACATATTTAAAACGAACTGGGTCATGTTTTAACCAGATTTTAGCGGCCTGTTGCATTTTTGTCTTCCTGTTCAGAGACTGGCAGTGCAGAGGAGTCTCTCTCACCCGACACCTGGCTTGTTTTTCCCCAGATTTCAAATCTTTTTAAGGTCGTGATATTTTACAGGGTACTGCGTTTCCTTTTTCTATTCCAATAAGATGGAAATAACACACTGCTTTTTGTCAAGACTGAAAAAAGATTTTTTTCTCACACTTGGTGCCCTTTGAGGGATCGGCTCATCCACTTTTTACCTCATTTACAGTGAGAGAACTTTTAAGCAAGACTTTTTAGATTTTTTCATGTCTGAGAATATGGAGCTTCTTAGTAAAAAATACAGCGTAAAAAAAAAAGTGAAGCTATACAAGTGGGAACTAAAGTAGTGTTTTCTTTTTTTTTTCTAAACGGAACCAATTTCCCACAGTTCTCATTAAAAAGATAACTGATCAAAATTGGGTTGCCAGTAAGTCAAAATTGACGGAGGCATTAAAAAATGGGTTTAGTTTTATGTACGTTTTTTTTTTTTCCTCATTTTGTTTATTTTTCTTTTGAATTGTTACATTTAAGGTAAGACAAGGTTACAGCTGAAGCTGGAAACAATCGAAGGAAATATCACTTGATAACAAACTCGTCATATTTGATTTGGCAAGGGCCCCAACAATCAAGTTCAGTTAAACTTTCAGTCCTAACATTATGTTTCTTCGAGGAATCCCTTAAGGTCGCTGTCACATCCTCACGTGGCTGGCAGCTTTTCCTCGTCTTTACACGTTCCATCTCACAAGTATGCCAGTAAACATTCTTGGAGCCGGGATTTCAGTTCAGTTTAAGAGGGGCTCTCAGTTTTGAGTATAACACATAATTTAATCTTTTAACATGAGCTTACTGTGCTGAAAAATCTAATGATCCCATTTTTTCATCTCAGTTGTAAGTTACTCCAGAAGTAATAGAAGTGTCACCACTGAATCAGTAGCAAGAGGTGGTTGTTGAAGCCTGCAAACACATACACACAAACAAACACACACACACACACACACACAGCTTCTCTTGTTGATTCTACACCACGGCTTCACGGTCCCGTTCTGTTGGCTAGCCCTGTGCCCCAGTTACCGAGAGACGGTGAGCGTGAAATGCTCCCGCATCAGCAGAAAAGTGTGCCAGGAGTCCCACAACATCATGATGAAACGTGTGGAAGTTTAAAGACACACACCAACCGGCGCGCGCTCCGTGCCTGTAACACTCTGGCCTCGTTCCACAAGTCCCCTCTCATCCGTTACTGTCCACTTTCGGAATGGTGCCGGTGCTGAAAATGCTTACCACGGCGCTTCTTCTGAGCCCGGTTCGGTCTCCAAACGTGGGCCAATCACTTCCTCATGCCTGGCACATATGGACAGCGGGCTAATTTACCGGGAAGGATGGTCGCTGTAGGAACTAACTGGGTTAATAGTCAGCAGGAGCTGATGACGGAGTCTTTGTGTGGCTCTCTCCTGGAAATGGATGACTCTGTGTCTTCCCACTATCTTCAGGGAACACAGCAGGAGAGGGAAAGTAGCATCTCCACTGAGGTTAAGTCACTACTAATTGACTCGTCAACATCTTTGGTCATATGCAGCCTTTTTTTAAACTTAATTTAGGAGGGATAACTCAGCAATGAATTATTATCTCTAATTCTTTCTTCGAGCTTGTTGAAGGACCGTTCTCTGTTAGATGATCCCACACTGCTGTAGGGAGGATTCATCCATCTATCTGTTCCGACTGATTTCCAGCCTTCTCTTGTGGTAATTTGGCTTAATTTCTGACGAGATTTCAATTAACAGTGAATGAACCCAATGCATCTCTCAGGTCCTGCGTTAGACCTTGTGGATTTTTCCCTATTTCTTAAGGATGTTGCTTTTCAGACCCCGTTCTAATTCCCTTTTTCCTTCACTCGCACAAAGCTGCAAATAGTTTAAAGCCTGCACATCTTTGTAAATCGCCTTTGTCCATGAATGATGGCTATTTTTTTGACATTTTTGTTGATTCAACTAATGAAAAGGAAACGGACTGTGAGTAACAACACGCTGAGGGATACCACCTAAAAAGGTCCTCTTTCGCCTGTTATGTGCCGACACAGCACTAGCTCATCCCTTGAGGACAAGTGAAAAGATTACAATCGAGATTACAATAAAGTCTGGCTCCTTGGAAGCGAGACAAAGCAGTGAAGGATGGCTCAATATTTTGGCAGCCTGCTGTAAGTGAGAAGAGCTTCTGAAAGCACAGACATTAATGATGCATCACCACTGTCACTCCCCCTGTTCCAAGATTTTGAAACCTGTCAGGTGAGATCTGTTTCCCCTCAGCCACAAGAAGTGATAAGAACTAATGCTTATTCAGACCGTTTTAAGGTTGGATTGAGGCTGAAATTAGATATCCAGGTTCAGTCAAAGCACTTTTTTTGCTGTTGATTCCTGATTTACAGCTTCATTCCAGCTGTTGATGGAAATGTGCCGCTGCTGTTTTAGTAAGGAGCACCAGGAGTCAAAGTCAGTCGGTCAGTCTGAACTCATTCTTTTATTTATCACAGAAGCACATGCAGCCGAGCATACATCCAACCAACCGCTGTTGTTAGATGATGTGTGACCGACTGCATTTTTTCTCGGTGCAGTGGAAAAACGGCAATCTCTCAACCTCCAGCAACAGTAGTCTTCCAGTATCAGCCTCGCAAGAGAAGACAGAGTGACACTAAACACAAAGAATGACATTTAGATAACAGACGCGTTTGAGCCAGGGCCCTCTCGAACAAGCACTGGCTGCCTGTAGGGCGCCTGCCGTAATGTGGCGGAAAAAGTCACATTTCTGTTTTATCGAATGAAAACATCATTTATTTCGTTTTTTACTTTAAAGAGAACAATACAAATGAAACCAGAGAGTAAGAAAAGCAAAGCAAACAAAATGGAAACTTTGACAATCAATAGTCCTAATAAGTCATCTCCTACTTAAAATCCAATTAAAATGAACTACCTACAGGGATTGGACAATGAAACTGAAACACCTGGTTTTAGACCACAATACTTTATTAGTATGGTGTAGGGCCTCCTTTTGCGGCCAATACAGCATTAATTCGTCTTGGGAATGACATATACAAGTCCTGCAGGGTGGTCAGAGGGATTTTAACCCATTCTTCTTGCAGGATATTAGCCAGGTCATGACGTGATGCTGGTGGAGGAAAATGTTTCCTGATTCGCTCCTCCAAAACACCCCAAAGTGGCTTAATAATATTGAGATCTGGTGACTGTGCAGGCCATGGGAGTTGTTCAACCTCACTTTCATGTTCATCAAACCAATCTTTCACCATTCTTGCTGCATGTATTGGTGCATTGCACCTACTGGGCTGGAGATTGTGATTGAGATGGACATTATTTTCCTTAAATTACCTCTCTCTGCTGTCAAGTGTGAAACTCTTTAATGAGTAAGTTCACTCATAGTCAGACGGCAGGTTCCAGACATTAGTTTCAATCTCTTACCTTTCAGATCCGCCATGTAGTACTGATAACACTTTTAAAAATTATATAATCCCATAGTTAATTCAGAGCAACATAGGGGCCAAAACTCTTGGTTTAGAGCGAGATGGACAACCTACCCATAAACTAAACATAAGATGGCAAAAAGCATGGAACCAAGCCATAAGCAAACATGACAGCTAGAGCTCAGCCCACACTGTGTTGTAGCAGTGTCATAAAGCCTTTTTGCTTTTGTTCCTCTGCCCTGCCTGACATACGTGTTCTTTGAGTCAGTCATAGTGGTACCTTTGGAGCGCAGTCTTGTAGTCATTTAAAAGACAAAGTGGGAGAGCCATACAGTCTCAGGAAGCTGTATTGAAGTATTAGGTCATCACAGGTTGGCCCACAAAGCAAATAAATGTGAAAAATGGGCATGAAATTAATTCCAGGAGCACAAACGTAATTCCAGGGAAATGAGCACAAGCCATGTCGAGTGATCCATGAATAGAACATGGAAACCTCTCTGCATATATCTCTCATACTTACACCCCCCTTCATTTTTATGTATGATATTGTAATGTTACATTACATTAATGTGGTTGTCACATATTGCATTGCTCAGATCTCATACAGGCAGAACAGAGAAGCATATTAGATCAGGTTGGGACATAAAGGTCAGTGTGGTTGTAAAAATCACAAGGCTGAGTGTGGCTGCATGAACTAAATTGCCCCAGTTGCTTCCTAGCTCCAAGGCCTTTTCGGGGGGAGGACGCTGAAGTGGTGTGATAGTCGATCAAAGAGCCCATTATAAAGCAATTATTTTAGAAAGGTCTATAATATGTTAGACTGACACGGCGTTTCGTTTTTTTTTTTCTTTTAGGGAAATTATGCATTTACCAGGCACCGCTGGGAGTGAGAATGAAAAGACTACTGAGCTTTTCGTGTTTGTGCCAGAGCCTCGGAATCTCTGCGGGACTGAAGGAGGGATTTTCTAGTTTTAAAAGATAGCAGGATTTAGTGGAGGTGCCAGCATTTGGCATTGAATTGGACAGCGTCGTGCCAGTGGTCAAACATTTTCTTACTCAGCAGAAAAAGTGTCTAAAGGTTCATAATCATTCAGTAAACTCTTTTATCCGAGGCTATCCATCTTATCCTCTCTCCTAAATTGCACCCGTCGATCCAAATGGGAAATTTTGCACACGCCTTCCCGCTGCTACTCAGACAACTGTATTTATCTTGGCACAGCTGGCTAACAGCTGCCTTTGCACCTCTGTTGTCATCTGAGTAAATATATACCTGTGATTTCCAGTTTTAGCCATAGGTGTCAAACAAGAGAAGGACCAGAAATTCATCCATTTGCTGAAGCACTTCTTCTCAGTAGCTTAGCGGCAGGGCTGGAGCCTATCCCAGTCATGATTGGCCAAGAGGCAGGCACCTTGGAATTGTTTGCTTTTAGAACCTTTCAGCCTCAGTGGAACCATCAGAGTGTTCCAGTTTGCTGTGCGTTTCCCTAGATCGAAGTAGGACATTCAGCCAACGCCATCATGTCCAGTCCGAAAGAGCTTTCTGTCTCCTTTTGACTCATGTGCCCCTCTCCCGTTGTCCGTCTGGGGAAAACAGGCCGAGATATGACTCCTCACCCCTTAGTGACCTCCCAAAGTCGCGCACTTCATCCCCTCGAAAGTCCCTCTCCTGTTTTCAGCCTCTTGACCAGCAGCCATCAGCTTCTCCTGACACAGCACTATCTGGCTCCCTGTCACCGTCCGTCCTCCTGCACTCCATCCCACGACGTGCCAACCGCCAGAATCTCCAAGTGGGGAGCGATGCGATATGGAATAAAGCAACATATTAAAGCACGTCGGAGTCACAGCCAGACTTTTTGTGGCTCCATACCGGCTCCGGGAAGGGCACGCTTTGGACAATAAATCACTTTCAGCATGAGTGGTGGAGGAGGGATTTTGGCAGTTGACAAGGATTGATGTAGACAAACGCCTCCATGTGTGGAGAGGATTTTAAAGTTGGAGGCAATGAGAGGCAATTAGGGAGGAAAAAGGATCAGATCAGGAGTGAATGACTTTGCTTTTGCGGCATAGAGATGATGTATTTTCACAGGCGTGAAAAGGCTTTATGGACAGATTCCACCTGTCTCTTCTGCATAAAGCCTTCAGGCACTGTGTGCTCTTATGTTTACATTCAGCACCTCTGGATGTTGTCCTGAAAACAAAAGACAAGGCTTTACCAAGCATTTTTTCCGCTAAATCCCGATTTCTTCCCGCTATATAATTTCTCCTTGAAATAAATTCCTTGCCCCTAAAGTTTTTTTTTTCCCGCAGATCTCCACCCATCCCCGGCTTCCTGGACGACTACGCCTTTGTCACCTGTGGCTTGCTGGACCTGTACGAGGCCACTCTGCGGGAGGAGTGGCTGCAGTGGGCCGAGGAGCTGCAGCTCAGGCAGGACGCGATGCTCTGGGACCCTCAGGGCGGGGGCTACTTCTGCTGTGATCCCAGCGACACCACAGTGCTGCTGCAGCTCAAAGAGGGTGAGGGACACATGCAGTGATGACTTAAGAGTCCCCCACCACCTTCTGACCTCATCAGTTAAACCAGAATTTAACTGGATGGAAATCTCTGCTTTAATAATCCTGCCAGTTTCACTTCATCACATTAGTTAAACTCTGAGAACGGAGGGGTGCGTGCAGATGGATGGGTGATAAAAGTGGGGAGTGTAATGATAATGACCTCTCTCTATCTATCATCAGAGCCATGCACCTCTGTGCTTCAGGTTTGTCTGATTCTGGGGGCGACTGATAATCAGACCTGTCAAATGTCAGTCCGGCTGCTTCTGGCAGCTCAAACAGCAACACGGGGGGGGGGGCATCACTCCTCTTACTGGCATCATCTCTTATCACTTTTGCTGTGTCTTGGTTATTAATGGTTTCTGTTTTCATCACATTTTCTACCCTTGTTGCCTTTAAATTCGGCACATATATACATAGAACACTTTCACATTTATACTTTTCATTCCATTCACTGCAGTGAAGTCAGGTTTTATGTCACCATGGCAGCAGGTCTCTGCCACAGTGAAAGTTTCTAAGCCCTAAGTGACAAATCACGCTGCAGATGTTATAGAACAATATGTTATGTGGATGTTATTGTTGGTTTTATATTGTGATATGTACCTTTTATTCGTTATTATACAACATAACCAAATGTTAGGCGAAATGGCTGGATGGTGGGATGACGCTTTCTGAATTTCATTTCAGCTAGTTTTAAACTCATTTCAGCTCACCCCCACATATAGACAGAGGAATATTAACCCATTTGACTTAACACTTAACAAATTTGAATGCAAAATAGTTGAGAAGATGCCTTATAGCCTAATAAAGAGACAAAGAGATGGATAAGAGGACTAATGGGGTATAAACAACCGGTGATTTGTTCTCCAGCTTGTCTTCAGCTGGGGGCGCTGACATCTGCTGGCAGGTGGGAGCGGCTGACGCACCCGTTTACCTTCGATCAGTCGGAACAAAACATTCAGTTTGAATCGAATGACCTATTTCTACCATGTTCTCCGTCTTCAGCAAGCACCGATTTTAACCGCGTTCTTCTTCCTGTTCGGCTTGTTCATTTCTTCTCAGCTTCATTCCACAAACGTTTTTCTGTGACAGAACTGCTTCTAAGGTAGGAAACGTAGCATTTACAGGTGAATCTGTGTGTTCACATAAACCTCAAACTCACCTCAGTCATTTTGCGGAGTTGACAACATATTGTGAGACGGAATGATAAAGCTAAAGACTAAAAGTCAGGGGAATGTTCAGGCTTCTCTCTGTGATGAGTTCCTGCTTGTTTTGGGGAAATGTCCAACACATGGCGCATCCTTCAGCTTTATGGATTGGTTTGGTCATCGCAGCTATTTTTAGTCTTTGACCAAAACTGGCTGTGAGACTTAAAATCTGGTAGTGTCAGCTGCCGGCCCTGCAGCTGAGTCTTTCTGTCTCACACACACACACACACCTTCAGAAAAATGCACTGCTGAGCGGACAGAGGTTATGAGAAGATCACCTACAGCCTCTCACTAGACACTGATAAAAGATAAGGACCAATCACTTAGCAGAGCTGAGCCATGAGGTCACCCTGCTGTCCCAGCACATCACACCAGTCACACACACACACACACACACGCTAGTTTCAGCCTGCGTGTCCAGAACAGGCCGCTCCCTCAAACGCATGCAAGTCGCTCATATGAAGGATTTCATGCTTGATTTAATGCAGATTATTTTTTTATTCCCAGAGACTAACAATGAAGACACGGACAGCAGAAAAAGTAATTTACCCCAAGTGAACAGAATTGTCTTTTGTCCAGTTCACGGCTTTGTTATGACACAATGGAATCCATTTGTAATCTGTAAACCATCACAGCGGAATCGTGTTGCGCCTTTTCCTTTTAACTTTAATCCTTTTTCTTCTCTGTAGTCACACATTTTTAACTCAACTTCAAGACAAGGAAAAAAAAGCTCACTACGAGGCAGCAGGTTAGCTAAACAAAAGAGGATCCACCATCTTGAAAGCTGCCATATTGGCTCAAGCTCAACTTTTTGTGCTGGTTGTGCTTTCCCTGATGCGAACACGTAAAACAGCTGTGCATGACAAGCAAAATTCACAATTCACAATCTTTTCAGATTAAAAGCACAATAGATTTAAATCTGACTGTAGGAAATCAATTATCTGAGACATTTCCATTAGAAAAAACCTGCCCTTGATCCAATATGGTGGCTTTCAATATGGCAGGCATGTTAGGGAAATTGCTTAAAAGGTAGGCCCCCTTACGCATGACTTGCTGGGTTATTTGAAGAGATCATTTTCCCTTTATGTCTGAATTGAAAGGGCATCAGGTGACTTTTGACTCACCCTGTATTTTGGGGCCACAACTTTTTAGACCTCATGGACCTCTTTTGTGTGTGTGTTTCAGACCAGGACGGAGCGGAGCCCAGCGCTAACTCAGTGTCAGCGTCCAATCTTCTGCGTCTCTCCCATTACACCGGCAGACAGGAGTGGCTCCAGAAGTCCCAGCAGCTGCTGGCTGCCTTCTCTGACCGCCTGACCAAGGTTCCCATAGCCCTGCCTGAGATGGTCCGGGCCCTCATGGCTGAGCACTACACACTTAAACAGGTAACCCATCCACTGTTGATCAACGCTTTCTTTGGGATTTGTCACAAGGTGAAGCTTAAAAGATGAAGACTGAGCTCTTCTCAAGGTTCTGGTAAATTGGTGTGGAGTCAAAACTACTCTCTGTATAACTTTGGGAAATCTGCACAAATTGCAGGCTGCACAGACATTCCTATTTCACACACAGGTCTCTGAACTCAAAGATGTGATTACCTTTGTGTTAAAAAACGCTCCTGTTCCTGAAATATGCGTGTGCACGCATCGTCTGATAGGCACAGGTCAGAATGGAGAGCTCATGGGATTCTTAAACTCTTTTTATGTCTCAGAGTTTCATACAGACATGGTGCATTTAAAAATTTAATTAAGTTGAACGTTGTGTGGACACCTTATATCTGCACACCTTATGTCTACACACTTTATGTATGCACAATTTTTCATTTATTTCCTGTCATCTTGGAAATGTGAAAACATTAGCACTTTACATGGTCTAAATGAAATTCTGTGCATTTTCTATACATAACTTTTCAAATGTAATGAAAAAGTTCTGTAACTTTTTTGCGATGCTTTTTTTTATCCTGCATGTACCACCCCGTTGAAGGTGTATTGTTTTTTTTGTTCTTTAGATTTACCTCAATGAATGCGAATGTCCGTAGATCTAACTTTTACCTTGTACCTTTGTAACTTTAACATAACATCCTAAGTGGGGCCCGTGGGTTCTGAGATGTTTCTCTTTGCAGGATTTTTATGTGGTTTGCCCAGATGTGAGCGTCTGACCTTGGGGTAACTTACACAGACATCCACTCTGGAGCTGAAATAATCAATGAACATGCCTTTCCTCTCACTCTGTCCTGAATAATTCAGCACTTTTCTCCCGTGGAGTTGAAACTTTAGTCCGGCTGTGTTTACATGAAAACCATATGAGTGGGAAGTCTTTCACGAGATGAAATGTCAGTTTTTAAAGTGGTCAAAATCTTTTCAGAAGATTTTTCTCACCCGGATTGCATGCTTGCTCTTCTTTGTCTTCTATATATATGGGCCCTGCGTTTGGAATAAAAACCACTTCTCAGAGGATGTATGAAATATTGAAAGCATGTGTATTTCACCAAACTCAGAACACTAGATTTATTGCTTTAATATGTTTTTCCTTGTCATTTTTAACTTAAGGAGGTCATGGGGGGACACAGCTTTTCACTGAGATGCTCATTCAGTTTTTCTGGCGCGCAAACATTCTAAGTCTTTCCCTGTTGGCGCTGTTGTTCAGCACCAGTTATGTAATCAGCGTTGAAATTTTAATGCCCCTCAGTCTTGGCTGACACAACTGAAACCGGGTGGGCGAGTCAAAGAAAGTTTCTCCGTCACCCGAAGAGAAGGTGCAGCGCGTGTAAAAGGAGTCGTAACTGGGTGTTAGTTGGCTTCCTGTCCGTCAAGCACGACCTGCAGGGGATGAGTCGGGGCGGCGGGGCAGCAGTAACAAGCAAGGAGCGAGACGAGGCGAGGCGGTTTGCGAGAAAACACCTGCCTCCCTTGTTACCGCTACAAATACACAACTGACCTGTATCCCTTCTTCCCTGTTTTCCCTCCTCGTATGTGTCACCTTTCCCCTCTAACTTCACTCTCTTCTGTCTCCACAGGCTCATTATCTTCTCTCCTCCTCATCCCCTTTCCCTCACACTTACTTTCTTTTTTTTTTTCTTATGTCAGATTGTGATCCGGGGCCAGGAGGACGCCTCAGACACCTCGAGTCTTCTAGCAGCAGCCAACTCCCTCTTCCTCCCGTTCAAGGTAAATCCAGTTGGCACGGGAGCGCCGACTCATCTTGACTAATTTCATTCCACAAAGAGAGCGCTCACTGATTTCCTAAAAGCATCAGTATCTTTAAAGAGGCGGCCGATTTTCAGCATCCAGAGTGGGCCTGAGCTGGTTCAGTGCCTCGGGTGTAGGCTGCTTTAAGTGTGGCTCTTTAAAGGTCAGCCTGAGCTTCTCTCCTTCCCTCTCCTCAGTGTAATAACTCTGAAGGGATCTCTTTTCGGGCATCGGTTGAAGTGAAAGCCCATTCCTGACAACTGAACACCATACAGGTCCAACTGGAGTTTTGTGAGTGAACACTGTCCCCGCTGGCCCTGACAGAGGGTATTTGTCTAAGAACTGGACAGCTGTCAGTCTGAGTCAGACTTAAACTCTTTATAGATGCAAACCGGAGTCTTTTTCCGTGGCCACATTTTACTGGGCTTTTTGCCCTATGTTGTCTATCGATTCATTTCCGTGGGGAGTTAGCTCCATTCCCTGAGAAGATCTTGGTGAGAAGTGGAGAGAAATGAGATATTCATCCAGATGAAGCTGGGGTAACTGGTCTTTGTCTAAAAGGCAATTTCTCCCTAGCTCATCAAATATGTCCATCCCACCAGAATTAGAAACATCCAAGTCATAGTGGAGAGACAAGAACTCAAGAATAAGACCGCCGTGTTCTATACCAGGACTAGCCAACAGTGCAATAATGCTGGAAGGGTGTTTAGACTTCATCATCTTCATGTTTTGTGTAAAGCATGACCCACACAGTCATATAACCGCTGACTATGAATGCAT